AGTTAAGTATGCAGCTTCATAATCTAGAATGATTTGATAAAAAAATTAAAGAACATATGATTTCATACCTTCTTGCTTAGATTAGATGCTTCAATCTAGGACTGCTTCACTGCTATTAAAGAACCACGGTGGAAGTGTTGCCGCGTTGGAGACTAGAGTGTGAAGAAGATTCAAACAAGATTGAAAGAAGACTGCGTCATTGCCGAGGAGGAGACTGGAGTGCGCAGCTATTCCAGCGAAGAAGATTTAAACAAGACTGCGTCACTGCCGTACATGTATTTAGCTAGTACAGATACGGTACCAATTATTTCGGTTTAGTATGGGATTTTATTCCGTACTGATCCCGATTCCGAAATATCGGTTCGGTATCGTTCGGGATAGTTTGGGATCAGTTTCGGTACAAATCGGGATGAATAGACATACTTTACACGTTAAAATTTAACAATACCCTTTTATTTTTGAAAATTAAAAGTGAACTTAAAAAAAACATGAAAAATTAAAAAAAATGAATATTTAAATGCAAGAGATGTGTATCAAATTTAAGTTTATATTTTACAAACTAAAAAAATGAATGACAACAAATGAGTATTTCGAATCTTTGTGAAATTTTTATGTTCATACACAAAAACTAAAACCTCAAATAAAAGTATAATTTACACATCATAGAACTTGAACCATTTTTTTTAAATAAATATTATTTAGTGAAGGAATATAAAAATATTACTCCGGGGTATTATTTATTATCATATTTTAGTATATATGTTCGGTACGGGATTTTTCGGTAAGGGACGTCACCTCGTACCGTTCCCGAATACTGTACCGACAATTCGGTTCGGTACGGTTCGGTTTCTTCTCGGTATTTTTTCTATTCGGTATTTTTCAGTTCGGTATTCTCGGTTTTTTCGGAAAATTTTGGTATCGGTTCGGTACTTGCTCACCCCTATTGGAGACTGGAGTGCGATTGGGGATTTGAGAATTTTGGGGAAGTCTAACTCTTGTACTGACAGTGGGTTATTTGTTTCAGCCTCTTAAAGGTTCAGATGTCTGAATAGTTCAACACTTAATGGTTCAGACTATTTGTTTCGTGAGAAGATGTCTGAATGATGCAGACATTTGCCTTTGAATGGATAAGTATAATACAGAGTCTGAATGTTAAAACTTCTTATCTGAATTGATCAGACATTTGCCTTTGAATAGTTAAACAATATACTAGCTCTTAATGATTCAGACCTCTTACTGGTTCAGCACTTAATGGTTCAGACCTCTTACTGGTTCAGCACTTACCTATTCAGAATTTGCCAAACAGCCCCTAAACCTAATAGGTAAGTGCTGAACCAGTAAGAGGTCTGAACCATTAAGTGTTGAACCAGTAAAAGGTCTTAACTATTAAGAGCTAGTATATTGCTTAACTACTCAGAGGCAAATTTCTGATCAATTCAGATAAGAGCTCTTAACCATTCACACTCTGTATAATACTTAACCATTCAGAGACAAATGTCAGAGCCATTCAGACATTTGAACCATTAAGAGGCTGAAACAAACAGTCTGAACCATTAATTGCTGAACCATTTAAACATCTGAACCATTAAGAGGCTGAAACAAACAGCCCCTTAGACTATTCGGTTTTTAGCAATTCCTTTCGGTTTTTAAAAGCCAAAACCGCAACCAAAACCGAATTCAATCAGTTGGGTTCGGTTTTTTGAGTTCGGTTTCGGTTTTCGTGGTGCGGCTTTTTTTGGTATTGTTCGATTAATTTCAGTTCGGTTTTCGGTTTTCCGGACCCAGCCCTACTCGTAACAATGCCATTTATTGTATTTTATCAAAAAGTTATACAAATAAATCATACTTTAGTTTTTTACCTCTAGCAGACTTTCAGAGGTCTCGTGCTCACTTGCATCTTCGCCTCTAGTAGGGACATTACATTGCTTTTTTTTTATGCCAATATATATTTGTATTATTCTTTTTTTTTTATAAATAAAAGCAGTTTTATTCGCATAAATAAAGAAAAGGGGTGGAAGGAACAAGTCTCCAACCTACCCTAAAAGTAAAGTAAATAAATAAAGAGAAGGGGGAGGGAACATAACTCCCACTCACCCACAAAATAAAGAAGGCAAAAAAATGCTAAGCCAGAACAAAAAGTCCATGAGGGATAAAATATGTGGCCCGAAGGCTAGGAACAGCATAGGCCCCATAAATCAGCATCTAGGGGGATTCTTTAAAATCTTCTGGCGAGCCCATCGCATGGCCTCTTTCAACGCTGGGTGACGTGCGTAATCTACCTTTTTAAAATCTGCCTCCCAATTGTTACTAATGAGCTTCAATGCACGCGTCTTCAATACTTTCATAGAACGATAATCCTCATCGTGCTTAGTAACCGGGATAATATAACCTTGCTCATCAACTGGATAGAAGTGAATCTCCCCGTAAAAGTCAATATGACGAGAAATAGGAGGGGCCGAATTGGCTATCACCTTGTCATCATTGGCCACGCCATCCACTATTATCGGAGAGGAACACTGACGTTCCTCAGATTTTCCTTTTTCCTCAACCACAATGTCCGCGTAATCTAAATCCTTAAAACCAACCTTTCCTTCAGGCTCCGAGGAATATCCCGAGGGGGTCTCTGGCTGAAACGTAGGTGGTACAGCAGTAGAAGCCGGGCCTTCGTGCAAGGTTTTGAGAAGGGCAGCTTGGGACAACAACCCCGACTTATAAGAAGCTATGGCCTCGGCAATGAAATTTTTAGAAGAGTTTTTAGAGGCGTTTCGGTCAAACAAAGGGAGGGAGGGTGGGGTTTGCATGGGAATATGTTGAATGGGGTTTTAGGGTTGCATGGGAAGGGTTTGCATGGGAACTGTCGATTGTA